AAGGGCCACAATAGTATTAAGCCATTTCAGTCTGATGCTTTCGAATGGGGACTGATTTGGTGACCTTCCAGTGCACAGCATATAGCGTGTCATAGATGCAAGTAAGTCAGCAGAGTAAGGAAAGCGTTGGGTGCGCCACGGGGCTGGAGCCCCCGGTGTTGCTGCAAATAGAATAATAAGGACTACTGACTAATTGTCAGTAGGCGCTTACGGTGTAGAAAGAGTGCCAGGTGATCGTCATGAGCGGTGAGGGCTAGAAGGCGGGGAGTCTGACCCTTGCGGTCCTCAGAGAGAAGGGAGGCTCTGGCGCGAACGAGGGCCTCACAAACCCTCCTTTGACCGTACGCAGCTGCTTTGTGCAGAGCTGTCTGTTCCCTGTCAATGGAAAGGAACCAACTGGACTTGAAGCAAAACCATATGGAAGTTGCACGTGCAAAGGCAGCAATATTTCCAAACGTTGGGGTCACCTTCGTGAGATTGCCAAAGCATTTAAACAGCAGTCGACATAAATGAGGAAATTTGCATGGACACCTTGGTCGTGGGGGTGGGGGGCGTTTCAGGGACATGGAACTACAGTCAGTTAAATCGTGTCTATTTCAACAGAGATCACTCTGACTATACTGTTTATTCAGGGTCTCTCACGGCCCTTAATTACGCAAAATCATTTTCAGTACGGCTGACTACTTGTTCTACTATGTGTATGTGAAAGCATTTTTTAAATTTCGTTTTCGTGGGTCGGTTTAAGTATCCACTTCGTTGCCTTAGCGTCGGTCCTTTATTGATGAAAACCATGCCGAAATAACAGATTGCATCGCAACTACGTTAGTTCATTAACACATAAAAGCACATCCTATACGTTTCGGTGTTTTTAAAAGGGCATTCTACTCGTTGTTTGGGGGGTGGTTTCTGCAACTTTCGAGACTGTTCGCGACTGTGCCATTATTTTACGCAATTCGCTGTTAACTGTCAAAAGTATCGACTGACGCGAATTGCGTGTGTTTTCAGACCCTACAGGTTGGCGACATTTAAAAACTTATGCGTAATATCGCCCTTCTCAGTCATTTGGAGACTACTAGGATCATGGAGATCGAATCGACTTCGTTGTAACGTATTAACCATGTCTGACAACTAAAACTCCCAAATTCGTGATAGAAATTAAGCCCTTGCATGAACTACTTCTACCATCAAAGTGCAATGCGCATCTTTGGCTTTTGGATAGCCCTTCCCTGAAAATCTAGTTTTTATCAAAACAAAAGATTTCTTATTAGGGGTTTTCCAGACTTCAATACTTTCAGGTGACCCAATTGTAAAACACTCGCGGCTTCGGTGGGAACCGAACCCACAAAAAAGGGAAGGCTTTTGCGCAGCCAGCGCTCTAAAATTGAGCTACGGGGCAGTAAGTCAGGCAAGCACAAATGTGATTAAATTCACGGCTGACGGTGGGCCTCGTAGCTCAATGGAAGATTGTAAGCTGCGCAAAAGTTATCCCTGCTGCGTGAATTCGACTCCTACCGAGGCCGTGAATATTCCACAATTGGTTCGACCGAATTATTGAAATCTGCCAAACCCTAGCAACTAAGGTTAGCCTAGTAGATTATCCAGTGGAGCTCAGGTGATTACTTAGGGAATCCTGCCTTAGCAGTCAGTTGGCTGTTCCGTAATGGTGGATTCCATACAAGCAGTAAGTTGGGCTGGTAAAATCGACCCAAGTGTGATTCAATTCACGGCTCAGAGTGAGCCTCGTAGCTCAATGGTAGAGTGTTGGCAGCGCAAACGCCTTCCCTGCCGTGTAGGTTCGATTCCCACCTAGAACGGCGAGTTTTTTACAATTGGGTCAACTGAAATAGAAGATTACTCTCTGCTTCTCAGCAAAACAATGGGTTTGACTTTTGGCGATCAGTTCACAGTGGGACATTGACCTAACCGTCCCAGCCTCCGACTATTCGCTTTTTTGGCAGATCAAACCTGTCCACCTCTAGGCTGCGAGGACACCCTCTCAAATTACGTGTGACTGGGGCAAG